TAGATTCAGGACAGCCATTGAACTAGTTAGGAGCAAGGGAGGAATCCCGATCATATGTGGCATTCTTCCAAGAAAGGGAGTGGGAAATGAATGGATGTCGAGGGCAATTGGTGTCAATTGCCGGCTGGAAAGATATTGCAAATCAAATGCGAACTCGTTGGAAGAAGTGGTTAGAGGTGTTTGTTTGGGTTTAAACTGTTAGTAGATAGAGGTATGGGAATTGATTTGGAGGAAGGAGGTAATAAAAGTATGTGTTTGTGGGAGAAAGGAATTGGCAAAATGATCACGGAAAGAGAAGGGCCTCAAAATAACAATTCACTTAGGGTATATTACACTAACAGTAGAAGTCTAAGAAATAAAATTAACGAATTAAATGCTCTTGTCTGCACAGAAAAATAGATATTATTGCACTTACCGAAACGTGGATGAATGTAGAAAATAGAGAACTATTAGCTGAATATCAAATAAATGGATTTAAACTATTTCACACAGATAGATATATTAGACGAGGAGGGGGAGTAGCCATATATGTTAGGGACAATTTGAAGTGTAGTCTCAAAGAGGGAATCAAAACTGAGCCACACACAGAAACTATTTGGATAGAATTAAACGAAAAAGCAAATAATATTATAATAGGAGTTATATATAGGCCACCAAATTTAGACAGAATGGAAGCAAAGCATCTATGGGATGAAATATCTAGGGCATCTAGATCTAACAGTATTTACGTCATGGGTGACTTTAATTTTAGTGGAATAAACTGGTTGAACAAAACAGGGAATAGTGAAGCAGAAGATTTTCTAGAATTAATTAACGATTGCTTTCTACGCAACACATTAAGGAACCAACACGGGAAAATAATATTTTAGATTTAGTGTTAACTAACAGGGAAACACAAATTAATGACATCGAAATAGAGATTGAGCTAGGGAACAGTGATCACAAAGAAATCAGATTTAGCATAAAATGGAATAGACCTGTAGGAGAAAATTCTGTTAAAGTGCCAGATTTTCGAAAAGCTGATTTTAATAGCCTAAGAAATTTTTTGGGTCAAATTGATTGGAAAGTCTTGGGTATGAGGTGGGGGCCGGTCTTGGAGCGAGACATGAACCCAGCGATAGGTGACGTAAATGGGGATTTCAATGTGGATTCAATATATAACTTATTTAAGAATATTCTAAACAAAGCACAGGAACGTAGTATACCATACAAATTGAATAGATCGAATACTAATGACCCAAAGTGGATAACAAAGAATTTGAAGAACCTTATAGGTAAAAAGAGAGCTTGGTACAAAAGGATTAAAAATGGGGAGGTCACTTTAGAACAGGAATTCGTACAACTGGTTAGAAATGTTGAAAAGGAGATAAGGAAAGCAAAAAGAAACTATGAAGTTCGCATAGCAGGGGAATTACAGACAAATCCTAAAGGGTTTTTTCAGTTATATCGAACTAAGACTAGAGAAAGGATAGGTCCATTAAAAACTGAGACTGGTCAAATAACAGATAGTGATGAAGAGATGAGTAGTATTTTTAATAAATATTTTGTATCTGTATTTACTAAAGAGGAACTTAACAATATGTCTTCAGCCGAACAAGTCTATGTGGGTGGGGACGAGGACAGGTTGACGAGTTTAGCAGTTACCAGGGAGGATGTTCTTAAACAAATAGTAAAACTCAAACCAAACAAATCAACAGGGCCGGATGAAGTGTTTACCAGGGTGCTTAAAGACTGCAAAGAATGCTTTGTGACCTATTGTCAACCATATTTAATAAATCAATAGAGTCAGGCAGAGTGCCAGAGTTTTGGAAAGTTGCTAATGTGATACCAGTTTTTAAGAAAGGAGATAGATCACTTGCGTCTAAATATCGACCAATTAGCCTAACGTCTATTGTGGGAAAGTTACTCGAATCTATAATAGCAAATAAAATTCGTCTTCATCTTGAAAAACATAAATTAATAATTGAGTCGAAACATGGTTTTATAAATGGCCGTTCATGTTTAACAAATTTGTTATTTTTTTATTCTAGCATAGTTGAGGCAGTTGATAGTGGTAAGGATTGTGATGTTGTGTACCTTGACTTTAGCAAAGCTTTTGATACAGTGCCACATGAGAGGCTGATTAAAAAGATAGAGGCTCATGGTATTGGGGGTGCTATATTAAGCTGGATTAGGGCATGGCTATACCAAAGGAAACAGAGAGTTAGTATAAATGGAGTCAAGTCCTTGAGTCGCAACATGGCCATTTGTAAAACCATGTTGCGACTCATTTATTAATTTAAGTTTTTCAAGATGGAGACGAATTATATTTGCAATTATTGATTCAAGTAACTTTCCCACAATAGACGTTAGGCTAATTGGCCGATAGTGTGACGCAAGTGATCTATCTCCTTTCTTAAAAATTGGTACCACATTAGCTACCTTCCATGACTCTGCCTGACTTTATTGATTTATTAAATATGGTAGACAGAGGCTCGGAAAGCTCCTCTTTGCATTCTTTAAGCACTCTGGCAAACACTTCATCCGGCAATGGGGATTTGTTTGGTTTTAGTTTTTCTAATTGTTTAATTACATGAAGAAAGATTAACAAAGCTTAAGTTGCATTCACTGGAAAGGCGAAGAGTTAGGGGTGACATGACAGAGGTTTACAAGTGGGTGAATAGACATAACAAAGGGGATAATAATAGGGTATTAAAAGTATCAACACAAGACAGAACACGAAACAATGGGTATAAATATGATAAGTTTAGATTTAGGAAAGACTTGGGTAAATACTGGTTCAGTAACAGGGTTGCTGATTTGTGGAACCAATTACCGCGTAACGTGCTGGAGGTGGGGTCCCTCGATTGTTTCAAGCCCTGGTTGGACAAGTATATGAGTGGGATTGGGTGGTTATAAATAGGAGCTGCCTCGTATGGGCCAATAGGCCTTCTGCAGTTGCCTTTGTTCTTATTGTGGAGGTGGGGTCCCTCGATTGTTTCAAGCATGGGTTGGACATGTATGTGAGTGGGATTGGGTGGTTATAAATAGGAGCTGCCTCGTATGGGCCAATAGGCCTTCTGCAGTTGCCTTTGTTCTTATGTTCTTAAGATATAGCTTAAGAACCACACCAGGTGACTTGTTACTAACGCTTCGATTAATAAATTCCAGTGTCCCATTCGCCTTATTACGAACATTCATGCATTGATCCTTTTGTTTTAAATTCTTACTAATCATAACTCCCAGATCCCTTTCGCAATCCGACTTCGCAATCTCAACACCATCTAGCTCGTATTTTGTAACTCTATCATCATTACCTAGCCTCAGAACTTTACATTTATCAGCATTAAACTGCATTTGACAATCCTTTGACCATTTCAAAACCCTATCTAGATCAACTTGAAGTGATAGTGAGTCCTCCTCCGAATTAATTTCCCTACCGATTTTCGTATCATCGGCAAATTTGCAAATGTTGCTACTCAAACCTGAATCTAAATCATTTATATATACATTATATACAACAGAGGTCCCAGGACAGATCCTTGAGGCACTCCACTTATAACATTTTCCCTTTCTGGTGAGTGGAAACTCTCTTTGTTTCCTTTGGTATAGCTATACCCTATTCCAACTTAATATAGCACCCCAACACCATGAGTCTCTATCTTTTTAATCAGTCTTTCATGTGGCACTGTATCAAAAACTTTGCTAAAGTTAAGGTACACAACATCACTACTATCAACCACTTACCACTATCAACTGCCTCGACTGTGCTGGAATAAAATGATAGCAAATTTTTTAAACATGAACGGTAATTAGTAAAACCATGTTGCTAATCATTTATTAATTTATGTTTTTATAGATGAAGACGAGTTGTATTTGCAATTATCGATTTATGTAACTTTCCCACAACAGACGTTACACTTTTATTAGTGGGAACCGCTATTATATACTTATATTAGTGTTAATATATTATTTTTCTTTATCTGGGTGTCACTTTTATTTTTCCTACACTGGGTACCACCAATATTTTTCCTTTATTATTACCGCTATTATTTTTTGTTTCTTGGTTGGAACTGAGAAAATCATTCCCTGCACATTCACTAGTGTACTCTTCTACAGTGTACCATTCAATTGGGTACCATTCACTTGGGTACCTTTCACTATTGTACTATTCTACAGTATACCATACAATTGGGTACCATTCACTTGGGTACCATTCACTAGTGTACCATTCATTAGTGAACCATTCTCTTATACATTCACTAGTGTACCATACATTAGTGAACCATTCTCTACTACAGTCACTAGTAAACCATTTAACAGCGTACAACTAAAGAGTATACCCACTACATATTGTACCATCCTGTACAAGAATATTACATTCCATATTGAGAAAAAATATATTGATAAATTAGAACGTATTCAAAGTCCAGCAGCAAAACTAACGCCACGAGAGCAATAAATTCTGCGAAGGTTTCAAAGAGCGAGAAACACCACTTTTCAGTTGCTCACCTTTGACCCTGATCCATCTCACCTCTGCCCCGCCTGCGCGTCCTCACTAAGTGTATATGTTTGTCATTATCGAGCAGCAGTGTTAGTCATTCAATCAACGTCGGCCAGAATTCCAGGCAAGGTAAATGGAGGATTGAGTATTAACATGTTCCCAGATATATCATTAATGGGATTTATGTTCTCACATTTATTAATACTGATTTATGGTCTCATCATTTAAATTATTATACTAATTATATTGTCTATATCATAGCAATTATAATAATAATTACAATTGTTTAACATCAAATTGCATTCAAAACAAAATCGAAAATTAGAAAACGTGCTTCTGTTGAAAAAAATTATTAATATTTTTGGTTCTAGATTACTATTCACTTGTGAAAGTCTTTGCAAATTTATCTGTCATTTCCAACGTGTTACAGTCGCATCAGTCTGTTATGAGACTAAAGTGATGTTAAGTATTATGGAAATTGTTACTGTTATGATACTTATTTTGTCTTTCCCACTAGATGAAGTACTTGGCAGCATCAGTGTTGGTGGCCGCTCTTGCCGCAATATCTGCAGTACCTTACTCTTCTGTTGTGCAGGAAGAGTGGGAGACATTTAAGGTAAGAACGTTAACAACATTAATTATTTGAAGTGTTCTTTAAGAAGAAAGCTTTAGCATGTTTTAGGGGATAATAGTGTAACAGTTGCCATCATTTTACATTAGGTTTAAAATTAGTGTGAGAGAACACTGTGATAGCGTACCAGGTTTCATGTATAGATTTCTCTTGCAAATAAAGGAGTTATATTTGTTTTGACTGCAAACCCGCTGGTATCACTGGTCACTTCAGTGAAGAAATTTATTGAGTGCAGTCAGTAAAGTCGGAGGTGATGGATGCTACTTGTGGTGAACTAAAGCGTTCCTTGCCAACTTCTTGTCATAAACAATGACAAGAAGTTGGCAAGGAACGCTTTAGTTCACCACTAGTAGCATCCATCACACCTGACTTTAAAATCATGAAATCAAATCAAAATCAATCATCACACCTATGTCATTAAAAGCCGTTGCTGTTGTACTGATCTGAAAAAACTATTGTGCTTGTAGCAACTATATTACATCTGCATATACTCATCTTCATATATTCTTAAAACCATTTATCTTGCCTCCCGAGACCGGCTAGAAGAAATAGTGTAATTATGAAAAAATATTTTTTAGATTGAACATGACAAGAAATACGCCACTGATGTTGAAGACTCGTTCCGCATGAACATCTATATGGAGAACAGACACAAGATTGCTGCACACAATAAGCTGTTTGCAACAGGACACAAGTCATACAGGCTCAGGATGAACAAGTTTGGTGACATGGTAAGTAGGATGAACCTCTAACGAGTAAACATTTGCATGAAAAAATCAGTAGGATTGAAGATAGAATCCTCAATGAAGAGGATTCTATCCAATGCGATGGATCCTCACAGGCACGCTCTAGGCACCGGAACATGGTCAAAATCATTGCAACCTGGGATTAAACTGAATCATCTGGTTTTCAGAGGATTCGAACCTCTCCTCATGGTTCCTACTGATTTTTTTGGTTGATGCATCACGTTAATGGTTTCTCATTGTGTATTGTCTGCATCCTGATTCCACTCAGAACAAAACTCATTTGTTAAATAACCCTTATTGCCCAGTGACTTACGTGATGTAATATTTCTTGCAGCTTCAGACGGAGTTTTTGTCAACAATGGCAGGTTTCCATACGAACCACACCGAAAGATACAGATTAAACAGCATGTACAATGGTTCCACATACATTGAGCCGGAAGATGATGTTATCCTTCCCAAGACTGTTGACTGGAGAAAGAAGGGAGCAGTCACCCCAGTAAAGGACCAAGGAAAATGTGGATCATGCTGGGCTTTCTCAGCTGTGAGTATTATCATCTAACTTATTTTGTTTGTAATGTAATTCTTAATCTAATGATTCCTATTTATAGTTATTAATATAGAACATTAATGACATCTTGGAAGTTCATTTGTAATGGTTTTATTATTATTATATAAAAATATTGATATATGAGCAAATATTAACATTTTCTCATATATTAATAATGATCATATAAAGAACTTACAAGTTTCGATGATGTTTTACAAAGTAATGTTTGTGTGCTCCACAGACCGGGTCACTGGAAGGTCAACACTTCCGCCAGACGGGTAAGCTGGTGAGCCTTTCTGAGCAGAACTTGATTGACTGTTCCACCAAGTACGGCAATGGTGGCTGTGACGGTGGACTGATGACCGCTGCCTTCAAGTACATTGAGGACAATGGTGGGATTGACACTGAAGATTCTTATCCTTACAAGAAGAAGGTAAATACACGTTTCATGATAATTATATTTTACCTGGGATGTGGTCTTGAACTTTTAAACAGTGAGTAGTTTGTAATATTAGCTGATGAGGAGTCTGCAAATATTGCAGTCTGTGTGTGGTTTGGTCAACAGAGTTCGTAATATTTGCTTTTTTGTGATTGACACTGAAGATTTTTATCCATATATCAAGGTAAATACACATTTAATGATAATTATATTTTACATATTTAAAACTGGTTTTAAACTTTTTAACAGATAGAATAATAAGCATTTGCATAACATATTTGCCTATAATATAAGCAAATATTACACATTTATATATAATGTACATATGTGTTTTTCATATTTTTGTACATAATAATATTGTAACCTTACTCTATTAGGAAGGAAAGTGTCAATATAAACAACAAGCATCTGGTGCTAAAGTGACTGGCTTTGTTCATATTCGCGAGGGAAGTGAAGATGCACTGAAGAAAGCTGTTGCCACAGTTGGACCAGTATCTGTTGCCATTGATGCCTCACACGGGTCAATCCAGTTTTACCATCATGGTAAGTTTTTTTTATTGTAAATGTATACATAGATCACATTTTACTGCAGGTGATCAGTATATTTCTGCATGCTCATATAAACGTGAAATGTGCATCATGTGTGTATATAAATTGCTTTTATTGTATGAGACCTTTATTGTTCAACGATTCTCAGGTCTTTCTTAGATCTGCTGTGTTTTCTAAAGTCTTTGAATATATATCATACTTTCTTTCTCATGGTGCGTTAAGTATTCATCATGTTTTCTACCAGAAAGTGTCATGTTCACACACTGTCATGTCCACGTATACACACAATCATGTCAATGGGGTGGTGCGTCTCACTCACCATATCGACAATTCCCACGTTGTAGCACAGTATTTATTCTTCCATTTAATTTAATGCCTTTAAATTCGGAATCTTATTTATTTTGTAGGAATTATGAGTTTCTGAACAAATAATTTGTTAAATATTGTATTATTGAAGGATGAATATATATATTACAGGTGTTTATGACGAGCCAGAATGTAGTTCAACGAATCTTGGCCACGGTGTTCTGGTTGTGGGTTATGGCACTACGGAGGACGGAACTGACTACTGGCTGGTGAAGAACTCTTGGGGCACAACTCTGGGTGATGAAGGCTACATCAAGATGATGAGGAACCGTAGTAACCAGTGTGGCATTGCTACTGAGGCCTCTTTCCCCCTTGTATAAACTCGTGGGGGAACCAGCGTGGCATTGTTACTGCTGCCTCCTTCCCTCTTGTATCGTGGGGACCCAGCGTGGCATGATTACTGTTGCAACACTCGAGGAGTTGTTGTAACACTCGAGGAGACCCAGTGTGCCAGTCTTGCTGCTCACTACTAACTTCCAGCATTAATTATGTGTCCACTTAGAACTGACATTTTATCTGCTGTCTAATTTTGTTGTTTTTCATCTGATTAATTTGAGAGATGTAATAAATTGAATCACTTTTGCCTCATGAAGGCAGGCAAAATAATTAGGTTCTCTGCCATAATGGAGTCTTCAATGAATATAGGAAATTAGGTAATTTAACTCAGAGGACTCAGTTGGTGAAGTGAAATTTTCTGAGGTCATGTATTACTTTATATTCTTTCGTAATAAAAATAAGCCAAACATTTTTTATCATTATGAACCAATTCCTAAATCAATTATCGGAAATTCGGACACCAATTACTACTAACATTGATTTGCAATAGTTAGCCATACAAAATGGCTATTGTAAATGGTTACAATTATCTTGAGATGATTTCGGGGCTTTAGTGTCCCCGCGGCCTGGTCCTCGACCAGGCCTCCACCCCCAGGAAGCAGCCCGTGATAGCTGATTAACACCCAGGTACCTATTTTACTGCTAGGTAACAGGGGCATAGGGTGAAAGAAACTCTGCCCATTGTTTATCGCCGGTGCCTGGGATCGAACCCAGGACCACAGGATCACAAGGCCAGCGTGCTGTCCGCTCGACCGACCGGCTCCCGAAGTACTGAAATGAGGTCTTAACTATTGAAATGTTCCTACGTCACCTAATTTCTCTAACCCTGTAAAATTTATATCCAATAATTTTTAAAACCAAAATGGTCAGGAGACCAAAATGGATAAAAAATGATTCTCCAGGACTGAATATAATTAAATCACAAATAAACCCAAGGTCTCCTTCACATTGTTGATAAAAGACAGTCAAAACCATTTCTTAGCGACGCATCCCCTGGAGCGTGAGAGAAGAGACTCCTTTAGCTTTGATGTCCATAGGGATTGGAAAGGATGGGGGAGGTAGAGAGATGGGGAGTTGAAATTCAGGAAGAGGATGCGGGTGTAGAGAGAGAGGAGGTTTGAAAGTTCGGTGGCCTGTCCACCATGGGTTGACATTTGTGTATGTTTGTTTGCGTATGTGTTATGTTGGGTTGTCAGTACATTGGCTGGGGGGCTAGTGTTTGTGACCTTGTTGGTGTCCTAAAGCACTAGAGCCGATGGAGCTGGCTGAAGGAGGTTAATCTTAGCAACATCAGGGTAGTTACACTTCTGATGCCACGACAAACGGTTTTTTGGTTTTGTATTTTTTTTTGTAGGAGTTTTATTTTTTTTTTTTTTTTTTTTTTTTATTTTTTTTTTTTTATTTATTTATTTTTCTTTATTCTTCATTTGGTGTAGATCGGGTCCGGGATGGGCCACTCATCTGGGTCGTCTGGCAGGCCGCTTAGTATTTGAGGTCTTGGGAAGGCCTCATCATGGATGTGTCTGATCACTTTTTGTAGGAGAGTGATTCTTCTGGTTCTGTGTGGTGGTTCGTGGATCTCGTAGCCGCTGGTGGTGTTTTCTGCTACGTAGGGATCTTCGGGGTCTGGGACATACATGTTCTTCATTCGGTACAGCTGTCTTCTGGCCAGGTAGCTGAGCCTGATGTTCATTGGCTTCATGTTGAGCGTCTCATGGATTTGGTCAGTTCTTACCCTGTCCATCAGAGTCGGGCCCTCCGCAAAGCGAAGTGCTTTGTTTTGTACTCGTTGGATCTTCAGCATGTTGGATTTGTTGGTGAGGTTCAGGGGGACATAAGGGTATTCCAGGCTAAGAGACTCCGTTAATTATGGACATCAAGTGTTCTATGTCTGTTATATACTATTATGCTATATACTCAAATATAGACTATATTTATTATAAATGGCTTTATTTAGTATATTATGTCAAGTGGTTAGAACGCATGGCAAGCCACCTGGAACGGATAAACTTTAATAACTAAATGAATTCTCCATAATATCTTGTCTTAACTATAGCCGTTATATACTGGTCGCAGTTTATTACTGTTTATTACAGCCGTCATATATTGGTTGCAGTTTATTACCATTTAACTCGTATCTTGTAACTCTATCATCACTACCTAACATTAAAACTTAACTAAACTAACTTTAAAAAACTACATTTGTCTGCAGTAAACTGAATCTACCAGTCTTTTGACCACTTCAAACGCTGTGTAGATCGTCATGAAGTGATAGTGAATCTTCTTCCGTGTTTATTTTGCCGATGAATAAAAAATCCCGATTTTTTTATTCATCAGCAAATTTGCAAATATTGCTGCTCAAACCTAAATCTAAATCATTTATATATATTATGAATAATAGAGGTCCCAGACCAAAGTCTTGAGGTACTCCACTTACAACAATTTCCCACTCTGACAAAAATGACTCCAATTATAATTACTTTATTTCCTTTGGTATAGCCATGCTGTGATCCAACTTAATAGAACCCCCAATACCGTGAACCTCTATCTTTTTAATCAGTATTTCATGTGGCACTGTATCAAAAGCTTTGCTAAAGTCAAGTTACTCAACATCTCAAACTTTACTATAATCAACTGGTCAACTATGCTGGAATAAAATGATAGCAATTTGTTTGCTATCATTAAAAACATTAAAAGCAATTTGCAAAACCATGTTGTGGATCATTTAATAATTTATATTTTTCAAGATGAAGATGAATGGTATTTGCAATTCAATTAACTTTCCCAAAAGACATTAAGCTAATTAGCCGATAGGATCACACTATCGTTTATAGTTTGTTTATTGTCTATAGTTATTCTATATTGTTAGACTATATATTATAGTCTATTGATTATTGACACTTTGACACAAGTGATCTATCTCCTCCCTTAAAAATTGGTAATACATTAGCAACCTTCTACGGCTCTGGCACTCTGCCTGACTCTAATGATCTATTAAATATGGTAGATAATGGTTCGCAATGCTCCTCTTTGCATTCCTTAAGCACTCTGGCAAGCACTTCTTCAGGCCCTGGGGATTTGTTTGGCTTGAGTTTCACTAGTAGTAGGCATTTTTCAGTCTATTGACTATGGAGTCAATAGCCTGGGTGGGTAGGTATGGAGGAGAAGCTGTTACCCATGCAGCAGGTCCCCCCTCTCCACGTTCCTGAAATTATCCAATAGAAAGGCAAATGCCAATGCACATGGTTCCAGCAACGTCGCAGGAGCTGCCAGAACGAGGTCGACGTCAACAACGAACTGCCTTAGGGGCTCCAACTCCGGATTTTTCCTCGAGGTTGACTCCTGAAGCCTTTCCCCTAAAAAAGGAGTTTCACTATTTATTTAATAACATTCATCCTGGTAAAAGCTATACTAGTCAACCTGTTTTTTTCTCTACCCACACAGACCTATTCAGCTGAAGGCATAATGTCCTCTTTAGTATGTACAGAAATAAAATATTTATTCAAAATTCTACTCATCTCTTTGCCATTATCAGTTATCTGACCTGTCTCAGTTTTTACTGGACCTATTTTTCCATAATACTTGTTCGATATAGCTGAAAAAAAACTTTAGGATTTGTCTTTGCTTGCCCTGCCATGAAAACTTCATAGTTTCTTTTTGCACTCTTTACCTCTTTTTTTAACATTGCCTACGAGTTAAACGAATTCCTGTTCTAAACTGACTTCCCCTATTCTTAGACCTTTTGTACGAAGCTCCCTTTTTGCTTGTAAGGTTCTTCAGATCCTTTGTTATACATTTCCGGTCATTCTCATTCGATCTATTTCATTTATATTTCTACGTTCCGGCCATTTGCTTAAAATATTTTATAATAAGTTATATGTTGAATCCACATCAAAATTCCTTTTCACACCACCCATTGCTGCGTTCATGTATCGCTCCAATTCCGGTCCCCCCCCCCCCCCTCAACGCCTAGGACTTTCCAATCTATTTCAAAAACATTCCTTAGGCCATTAAAATCAGTTTTTAAAAAATCTGGTACAGAATTTTCTTCTACAATTCTATTACATTCTATGTTAAATCTGATTTCATTGTGATCACTGTTCCCTAGCTCATTTCCTATTTCGATGTTATTAATTTGCGTATCACTAAGTCTAAAATATTTTTTTCACGCGTTGGTTCCTTAATGTTATCCATTATTATCAATTGTTATCAATTATTGTGCATTGTTATCCAGCCAGTACAGAAATAATATACAACTCATTATAGAAATCCAACATATATGACAAGAAGCACACAATTTAGGGCAGTCAATCTCCCTAAATTGGATATCAAATCACACTGGCATGAATGGATTAATTCATGAATGTTCGTAATAAGGCAAATAGGACACAGGGATTTACTAATCGAAGTGGATGAATGAACATAACATAGGGGATATTAATAGGATATTAAAAGTATCAATACAAGACAGAACACGAAACAATGGATATAAATCGGATAAGTATAGATATAGGAAAGACTTGGGTAAATACTAGTTCGGTAACAGGGTTGTTGATTTGTGGAACCAATTACCGCGTAACGTGGTGGAAGTAGGGTCCCTCGATTGTTTCAAGCGTGGGTAGGACATGTATATGAGTGGGATTGGGGGGTTATAAATGGGAGCTGCCTCGTAGGGCCAATAGGCCTTCTGCATTTACCTTCTTTCCAATGTTCTTATATCTTGCTCTGGTTAGGCCCCATTTAGATTATGCCGTGCTATAGAATGGTGTAGATCGGGTCCGGGATGGGCCACTCATCTGGGTCGTCTGGCAGGCCGCTTAGTATTTGAGGTCTTGGGAAGGCCTCATCATGGATGTGTCTGATCACTTTTTGTAGGAGAGTGATTCTTCTGGTTCTGTGTGGTGGTTCGTGGATCTCGTAGCCGCTGGTGGTGTTTTCTGCTACGTAGGGATCTTCGGGGTCTGGGACATACATGTTCTTCATTCGGTACAGCTGTCCTCTGGCCAGGTAGCTGAGCCTGATGTTCATTGGCTTCATGTTGAGCGTCTCATGGAT